CCCCCATGGAAGGGGATGGTGGTCTCGAGGCCCCCCATGGAAGGGGAGGGAATAGTAGTGTCAAGGCCCCCCAGAGCAAGGAATGATATTTTCAAGGCCCCCCCACTCTAACAGAAGGGCAGTGTCCAGGCCCCCCAGATCAAGGAATGGTGGTGTCAAGGCCCCCCACCCATCCCCAGGGGGAGGGGATGGTAGTTTCAAGCCCCCCCCCACTCTAACAGAAGGGCAGTGTCAAGGCCCGCACCCCAGGGGAGGGGATGGCGGTGTCAAGGCCCCCCAGGGGGGAACGGAGCGGCCGGACAGAGCTCAGGAGGCCGGGGTTGGACACACGGGTTTTATTGGAACAGGAGTTGGGGGGGGCTGTGACCCCTGACCCCCCACCCCCGTCCCGTGACCCCCGACCCCCCCACCCCCGTCCCGTGACCCCCGACCCCGACCCCCCACCCCCGTCCCGCGATCCCCGAAACAAAAGCCAGGATGACACCGAGCCGAGACCCTGGCCGGGGGTCACCAGGGTCAAGGGTCAGGGGTCACCCTGGGGATCCTGGGGTTGCAAGGGTCGGGGTTCGAGGTCTCTGGCTGTGTCTGTGTGTCCGAGAGGTCACGTGATGTCATCGCCGTGGGCCTGGACGCGTGATGTCATCGCTGTGAGCTGGACTTGTGATGTCACCGGTGCTGGCCAGACTCATGATGTCATCAACACAGGCCGGACTGGTGATGTCATCGCCGTGGGCCTGGACTGGTGATGTCACTGGTGTTGGCCAGACCTACGATGTCATGATTACCGGCCGGACTGGTGATGTCATTGCCGTGGGCCTGGACTCGTGATGTCAGTGATATGAGCCAGACCGATGATGTCATCCACACAGGCCGGACTTGTGATGTCATCAACAGAGGCCGGACTGGTGATGTCATCGCCGTGGGCCTGAACTCGTGATGTCACCAGTGTGAGCCAGTACCTGTGATGTCATCACTACAAGCTGGACTTGTGATGTCATCGCCGTGGGCCTGGACTTGTGATGTCATCAACAGAGGCCGGACTGGTGATGTCATCGCCGTGGGCCTGGACTCGTGATGTCACCTGTGCTGGCCAGACCTATGATGTCATCACTGGCTGGACTTCTGATGTCATCGCCGTGGGCCTGGACTTGTGAGGTCATCGACACAGGCCGGCCTCGTGCCCCTCCGACCCCCCGTGACCCCCCGTGACCCCCCGCGACCCCGTCCCCCCCCCCCCACGGCCCTTCTACCTGGTCCAGGCGCTGCGGCGGCGGCGTGCGGGCGAGCGGGAGCGGGAGCGGGCGGCCCGGCCCCCCCCCGGCCGCCGCTGGCCGCCTCCCCGCTGCCCGTCGGGCCCCGGCCGGCGGCGACGGCCCCGTCGTCCGCCCCCCGCCTCCCCGGAGGAGGAGGAGGAGGAGGAGGAGGACGGGGGGGACGGGGGGGACCGGCCGGCCTCGGGGCCCCGGGGGCGCGTGGCGCTGGACGTGGCCAGCGGGCCAGGCCGGGGCCCGGGGTCGGGGGTGGAGGCCGGCACGGCGGCCGGGGGGGTCGTGGTGGTCATCGTGGTGGCGGTGGTGGTGGCTGCCGGGGCGCCGGCCCTCGCGTCCGCCTCCCGGGGGTCTGCGTGCGGCCTGCTGGCCACGGCCCGGCCGGCGTCCGACGGGGAGGCCAGGGCCTGCACGGAGCGCAGCAGGCGCAGCAGGGCGTCCTCGGAGGCCGGGGTGCTGGTGGAGGCTGGGATGGTGGAGGCTGGGATGGTGGTGGAGGCCGGGATGGTGGTGGAGGCCGGGGTGGTGGTGGTGGAGGCCGGGGTGGTGGTGGAGGCTGGGATGGTGGAGGCTGGGATGGTGGTGGAGGCCGGGGTGGAGGCCGGGGCCGGGCCCTGGGCCAGCAGCAGGCCCAGCAGCCGCTCCCGCAGCGCCCGCTCCTTCCTCTGCAGGCCCAGCGCCCGGCGCTTCTCCTCCTCCACGCGGCGCAGCTCGGCCTCCTGCACCCGACGCCGCTCCGCCTGCGCCCGGCTCCGGCGACGCTCCTCCTCACGCTCACGGGCGGCCAGACGGGCGGCCTGCGGACAGAGGGACGGACGAGGGTGGACGCACAGGGGTACACGCGGGACGGACGCGCGGACGGCGATTCCCCCCCCCCCCGGGTCACAGGGATCGAGGACGGCGATCCGCTGGATCACAGGGATCTCTTGATCCCCTAGATCACAGGGATCTGTGTGTGGACAGGGATCCCCCACATCACAGGGATCTAGGACAGTGATCCGACAGATCACAGGGATCTGTGTGTGGACAGGGATCCCCCGGATCACAGGGATCTAGGACAGTGATCCCCCAGGTCACAGGGATCTGTCTGTGGACATTGATCCCCTGAATCACAGGAATCTAAGACAGTGATCCTCCGGATCAGAAGGATCTATCTAGGACAGCGATCTCCTGGATCACAGGGATCTACGACAGTGATCCGACAGATCACCGGGATCTCTGTGTGGGCACTGATCCCCCAGATCACAGGAATCTAGGACAGTGATCCACGGGATCACAAGAATCTCTTGATCCCCTAGATCACAGAGATCTGTGTATGGACAGGGATCCCCGGATCACAGGGACCTAGGACAGCGATCCCCCAGATCACAGGGATCTAGGACAGTGATCCGGCAGATCACAGGGATCTGTCTGTGGACAGTGATCCCCCAGATCACAGGAATGTAGGACAGTGATCCACCAGATCACAAGGATCTCCTGATCCCCTAGATCACAGACATCTGTGTATGGACAGTGATCCCCCAGATCACAGTAATCTGTGCATGGACAATGATCCCCGGATCACAAGGACCTAGGACAGCGATCTCCTAGATCACAGGGATCTAGGACAGTGATCCGACAGGTCACAGGAATCTGTGTGTGGACAGGGATCCCCCAGATACCAGGGATCTATGACAGCGATCCCCCAGATCACAGGGATCTGTGTCTGTGTGGACAGTGATCCTCTGGATCACAGAAATTTAGGACAGCTATCACCCAGATCACAGGGATCTGTATATGGACGGTGATCCCCTAGATCACAGGGATCTAGGACAGCGATCCCCCGGATCACAGGGATCTGTGTGTGTGGAAAGCGATCCCCCTGGATCACAAGGATCTGTGTACAGACAGTGATCTCCCAGATCACAGGGATCTAGGACAGCGATCCACCGGATCACAGGGATCTGTGTGTGTGGAGAATGATCCCCCGGATCACAGGGATCTGTGTGTGTGGACAGACATCCCCCTGGATCACTTGGATCTGTGTGTGTAGGACAGTGATCCCCGGATCACAGGAATCAAGAACAATGATCCCCCAGATCACAAGAATCTCTGTGTGGACAGTGATCCCTGGATCACAATGATCTGTGTACAGACAGTGATCTCCCAGATCACAGGGATCTAGGACAGCGATCCCCCGGATCACAGGGATCTGTGTGTGGACAGTGATCCCCCGGATCCCAGGGATCTGTGTGTGTAGACAGTGATCCCCTGGATTGCAGGGATCTAGGGCAGCGATCCCCCAGATCACAAGGATCTAGGACAGCGATCCCCCGGATCCCAGGGATCCGCGAGCGAGACCCACCTTGGCCCGGGCCAGCAGGGCGGCCACCAGCCGCACGGACTGCAGGTTGCGCTGGGCCAGCAGCAGCCGCCGCTCCTCGGCCCGGATCTTCTCCTGCAGCCGCCGCTGCTCCTCGGCCTGCAGCCGGGCCTCGCGCCGCCGCTGCCGCCGCTGCTGCCGCGCCCGCTGCCGCTGCTCCCGCCGCCGCCGCCGCTCCTCCCGCCGCCGGGCCCGCGCCTGCGCCTCCTGCTCCTGCTGCTTCCTGCGGGGCACAGAGACGCAGGTACACCGGGCCGCAGACGCACAGCACACACGGCACAGAGACGCACGGACACCAGGCACGCAGATGCACAGTGTAGACCAAGCACAGAGACGTACAGACACAATGCACAGAGACGCTTGCACACCAGGCCGCAGATGCACAGCACAGACCAAGCACACAGAGGCGCACGGACACAATGCACAGAGACACATGGACACCAGGCTGCAGATGCACAGCACAGACCAAGCGCACAGAGACGCACACACAGGCCTAACACACTGCACAGAGACGCATAGACACCATGCACAGAGATGCACAGCACACAATGCACAGAGATGCACGGACACCAGGCCGCAGATGCACAGCACAGACCAAGCACACAGAGATGCACAGACAGGCCTAACACACTGCACAGAGACGCATGGACACCAGGCCGCAGCAGCACAGCACAGACCAAGCACACAGAGACGCACAGACACAATGCACAGAGACACATGGACACCAGGCCGCAGATGCACAGCACAGACCAAGCGCACAGAGACGCACACACAGGCCTAACACACTGCACAGAGACGCATAGACACCAGGCCGCCGCTGCACAGCACACACTGCACAGAGACACATGGACACCAGGCCACAGATACACAGCACAGACCAAGCACACAGAGACGCACAGACAGGCCTAACACAATGCACAGAGACACATAGACACCAGGCCGCAGCTGCACAGCACAGACCAAGCACACAGAGACACACAGACAGGCCTAACACAATGCACAGAGACACACGGACACCAGGCCGCAGCTGCACAGCACACAATGCATAGAGACGCACAGACACCAGGCACGCGGATGCACAGCACAGACCAAGCACACAGAGACACACAGACAGGCCTAACACACTGCACAGAGACGCATGGACACCAGGCCGCAGATGCACAGCACACAATGCACAGAGACTCATAGACACCATGCACAGAGATGCACAGCGCAGAACTAATGCACAGAGACGCACACAGCACCTGATTTGCACAGAGACGCACACGGCACACACAGCACACACCCAGGCCGGGCTCACAGACGGACAGACGGACGCGCGCACCTCTCCTCCGCGCGCTGGCGCTCCTCCGCCTCCTTCTCCCGCCGCT